GCCAAAAACCCTAGAATTTGGGTTTTGAATATCATTCACCCAAATTATGAATCAATGGTTTAAATGTATTTAAATAAGCATAAAATAAAGTGTAGAAAGGTTAGATCCTAAGAAAAACAAAAATTTTGATTTTTACTAGGAAACACTCGGCTTCAACCCGTTTTTTAGAGATTGAGTTCCAAACACCCAACTTTATGAGTAATGGTTTCTTTATACTCTAATAAGTCTAAAATGAAGTATTAAAAGAAGAGGATTCAAGAAAAACTGAAATTTGGAATTGGAACCACTAAAATTATAAGTCGACTATTTAGGCTCATATTAAATGTCATTTAAACTAGGACTAAAATATGGGACTTAAGTAAGCCTAATGGATGGGTTATGTATTTCGTATGAGAATACCATGAAAATATTGATGAAGTTCCAAGTGTGGATTGAATTTCCAAAATGGTATGGATATAAATAGTTTGGTGCTTATGAGATATGGAATATAGTTCATGATACATTACATGCATCATATGCTTACGGGAAATGGTTTGACTTGAGAAAAACAAATGAGTCGAAACGATGAGGTTTGGTAAGCCGAATCGGATTGAATTGGATAGGTTTGGTAACCTACTTAGAATAAATGAGTATTAGCGGTCCGAGTTGTATTCGTACTCTAAGCTATGTGCATACACTATTAAACGATGGATTCTCACTAATAGTGGATACGACGAGGGATAATTCGTTGTTAGTAGAAGGTGATTTGATAATCACCTGGATTAAAAATAGAGTAGACTTGCTAATTACCCAAGGTACTCGAAATTAAAATTTGATGTGTCAAGGTTGGGGAGTTAGAAAATCAATGCATATCACATGCATCACCCTACTTACCGAACTTTAACTCACTTTGTGTTTATTTCATGCTATGACGGGGAAAGGCGATAATAATGCCGATAATGAAGTCTGTCGGTTCCTCCCAGAAAAAGGCTCATGTGTGACTCGACAATTATAGGATTCATCGTTACTCGTAAAAATATATACATTAATTTGTAACTTTTGTAATGATATTCGGTACCTTGTATATATGTATGGGATTAAAATTTGAGACTTCGGTCTCTAAACCGTGGTGCACCTAACCATGGCTTTTAGGTAATCGATAAGGGAGCCGAGGGTGCCACAAAAAATATTCAATTAAATTATAGAGATCTTTGTAAGGATTATTTTTAGATTTATGCTATACTTTTTATATTTATTTTTTGATTTTTAATATCCATTTTTTATTACTAACTTGGGTGTATGTGGTATAATCGCCTCAATGAATATTTATTGAAAGAAGATTATAAAAATAACATTATTTATTTATGTATTTTTTAAAAAAATCTAGAAAGAGTTTTATGATAATTACTATATATGTTGATCATTTAAATATTATTGGAACTCCTAAAGAGATTTCAAGTACCATAAGTTATCCGAAAAAAAATTTGATATGAAATACCTTGGAAAAGCCAAATTTTATCTCAATATGTAGTTTGAGCACTTAGAGAATGAGATTTTTATTCATCAATCAACTTATATAAAAAAAATTCTACAATAATTCTATATAAAACTCATCCATTGACTAGCCCAATGGTAGTTCATTCACTTGATATTCAAAAAGATCATTTTCGATTTTGATAAAATAATAAAAAACTACTTGGTCTTAAAGTATCATATATTAGTATAATTGGTGTATTAATATATCTTGTTAATAATAATTGACCCGATATAATTTTTTTTATAAATTTATTAGTAAGACATAATTCTACTCCAATATAAAGATATTGAAATGGAATTAAACATTTGTTACATTATCTTCGAGGAAAAATTAACATGGTATTTATTTTACTTAAATAAATCAAAGTCGAGTTTAATTGGTTATGTAGATACATGTTATTTATTTGATCCATACAAAACTTGATCACAAACATGTATTTATACACGATAATACGGTTATATCATGACGTTTTATGAAGCAAATGATAGCTCCTATATATTCAAACCATATAAAAAAAATATTAGCAATTCACGAGGCAAGTTGAGAAAATATGTAGCTAAGATCAATGACCAATCATACCGAGAGACATAAGGTTTATTTATCGACAAGAAAGTTTCGGTAATATTATATGAAGATAATACCGCTTGCATAACTCAATTGAAGAAAGAATACATCAAAGGTGATAGATGAATCATATATCATGAAAATTATTTTTTTACGCATGATCTTTAACAAAATGGTGATATTGATGTTTAACAAATTCAATCAAGTGATAATCTTGCGGACTTATTCATTAAGGCATTATCCGTCATAACTTTTCAAAAAATAGTTTACAAGATCAAGATTCGTCGTTTTAAATATCTTAAATGATGTTTTTAATAGAGGGAGCTCATTATGGAGATTAATATATACAAAAAATATTGTGCTTTTTTCCTTCACTATGATTTTTTTCTACTCGTTTTTGTCTATTAAGGTTTTAACGAGATATATTTTTCGTATAATGAACATTCAACAAAGAGTGTTATGAAATCGTAAATGTCTATATGAATGTCCATGTTCATTTTATATCCTCTCTACTTATAATTCTTAATATGATTCAATTGACCATTTAATATAGAAATTTAAAGGGTGGTATATTTGATTCAACCATTTATCCATCTTTAATTATTCATAATTTCTTCTAATTCTCTTCTTAATTTATAAATAAACTTGATTGTTCATTAGTTTACAATGTGTTTGTTTTTGTAGTGATTGAGAAAGTTATTTTGGAATTACTATCACTTGTATTTACTTTATTTCATACTGAATTTATTTTTCTATCATCTTTCTCTCCAATTATCTTATTATTATCATTTCTTTTAAAAGAAAAGATTTTTCTTTTTTTTTTGGAATTTTGAAAGGTTCCAAACAAGGGCATCATCGAATATGCTTTTGCAATTTGACATTCTTTTAAAAATTATATGGCCATTGTTTATGCTTGATTGCATAATGGTAATGGACCATCTATTGGAATCGACTCTTGTAAGTCAACTTTATAGTCATTAGACTCTCTTCTATAAAATATATATATTAAAATTTCAAATGAAAGAAGTATCACTTGTACTTCAACAATGATTTTCACTTAACAAAAAAACACATTTAACGAGTAGATTTATAAATAAAAACATAATCCTTTTAAATAAAATGAAACTTTGAATATTCTTATGAACATAAGAAGGTAAATGATTGAAAAGTTTTATGATAGCAATGGTTGGTCTTAAGTGGAAAATAACACGAAGGTATATATAGTGTAGGCTTAAATTACATAACCAATTCTCAAAAAACCCTTTTTGGTTGAGAATTGCATTTGCCATACTAGATGAAAACCACATAAAAATAAGGAGATAAGTGCATTATGATTACACCAACTTTTAATTTTTTTTCAATCGAATACATGAACTTTAATTTTTTTTATTTGAGTTTCAAAACTTTCAATCAAGTACTTTTGTCAATTTTTTTGTCAATTGACAAGGTGTCTCGTTATTTTTAAAATACCAAATTATAGTTTTATCTTTTTTTTTCAATCGAGTATGTTAACACCCAATTTTCCCCCAATTATTTTCTTTTTATTTTTATTGCAAAAATACAAAAAATATAATAATTAAAAAAATGCCAAGTGTAAAAAAAAAGAAAGAAAAAAATCAATTAAAACAAATGGCTTAGATTAGTTCTAGGGGTAATTAAAAAAAAAAAAAAGAAAGTTTGAAAAAAGAAGAAGAGACAATTGAGGGTATAATTAAAAGACTCAAACCTCGATCCGTTAATTAAAATAGTGAAGGGGCATAATTGAAAAAAAAATTAAGACAAAAGTCCTAATTAATTAAAATTTAAGGTTCCATCAAAGTTAGAACAATTAAAATCGCACTTAAATTGATCGATTATAAGGAATCGAGGACCAAAATAGACTTTTGCCTAAAAAACCTACAACCCACATATAAATAAACCCTTCTCACATTTTTTTTATACCATCCACTATTTATTCACCATCCTTAACAACATGTTACGATCGAAACTCTACCTTTCTTGTCATTGAACTAGCATACCTCACCTACTCTTCAACCACCGTTCCACCTTTCCCTCTCCTACACCCAAGCCACCTCATCACTCACCTCTCCCCGGCAACCAAATCATTCACTATTCACTTATCTTCCAAAAAAAAAAAAAATCCTGCAGACCATATTTCTTTTACCATTTATCTTCTTCCTTATATTTGGCGACAATAACAAAAAGAGAGAGGAAGAGGTAACCACACTTCATCTTTTTCATCTCCTCTTAACCGCCTCATCTTTCTCCTTCCCCACTTTCGACTAGAAAGACATAACTAATACCATAAACACCCACAATCGGTAGCAACAAAAAGAGAAAAGAAGGAGGGAAAACAACCGTTATTCACCTTCTCTAACAAAACACTACTAGTCACCACCCGCTTCCTCCTTCAACTTCTCTAACCAAGACCACATCGAACCCCTACAATAGCCCAAGATCAACTGCTACACGGCCATCACTCCTACCCAAACCCGAGATGACCCGACCACCGTGGCCTAACCCACACCAACCATAACCTCTCTTACCATCCCTTTCCCAACCTTACATAAAAAAGGACCGGGGTTCAACCTTGGCTCTTATTAGAATTAACGAGTCAAACACGAGTAGTGAAAGTTGGTAAGCACGTGATCATACATCGTACGAGCCTTTCTACTCATGACTTTCAAATTCTTAACTCGTTACTTTCTTACCGATCTATTGTTTTGGGTCTGAAAGTGATTATTATTAATTTAGAGCATATTAAGGCGATTATTACAACACATGAGGTCTTATTATTAAATTCTAGAGACCCTTCATTACTCTATTTGTTGAAGAGTTACGGAGGAGGTTGATCTTTCATTATCATGCTATTAAGAATCGGGAGGGAAATGGTGATCATTCAAAGGCAAATCCTTATCTTATGGAAGAGCATGAGTCAAAGGGTTTAAGTCCCGAAAAAAATCCAAATAACTTTTCACATTTTGAGGATCACAACGAGGAAGTTAAGGCTGATAGGAAAGAAGGTCTCAAGAATTGATATGGATTAAAGGTTCTTTTATTTGAGTTTATCACATTGAAAGCATGCATGGAGGCTACTTGCAGTTGCTTAGAAAGTGAAAAAAAAACACTAGAGCAAGAGGCACATCCGAGTGTTGGATAAGTCGACTTTAAAGATCGATACTTTTAATTTAGAACATGTCCACTAGATTAAAAGTTGATTGGTTACAATAATCGGCTAAGTTTAAAAGGTTAGGAATGAGTTAGAAAACTTGCTAGACAATGATGAAGACATGACGAGAGATGTGTCTAATAGAAAATCTAGTTCAAGCAATCGCTTGAAGATTTTCAACTTTCTCTTTATATGAGGGAAATGGCATAGATGATAATGACCTTCAAGCGGACTTCAATGACAACATTATTGTTAAGGTGTCATTGGGAGCCTTTACTAGCCATGAAGATTGTATTAACAACATTGGTAATCAACACAATCATCCGTTCGAGTGTACCCAATAGACTTAGTAGATATAGCCACACCTATACCGAGTATGACATGAAGTGCTATAAGCAAGCATCTTGATATAGAGGAGCTAGAAATGCTCTTAGAGGGGTATTTTATGCAAATTGATGGCACGTTAAACAAATTATCAATGGAAAAACACATCAATTGCATTATTGCCTTGTCGTTTTAAGTTGCGACAACCTTGATAATTTTCGGAGATGTTGATAAATTTATCAATAACTTTGGTGTAAGCAACAACTTTGACTATTTGCATTGACCTTAGAGTGACCTTCAATCACTTTAGCAAGACCCATATAATATTTTGACAATGGACCACTACTCTTCTTCTCTTGCTAACCGAACAATCGGTTATCATCGAGAATGAAGAGAGTAGAACCGATCCTCAAATCGGATACTTGGACCTTTCGGAATATTTTTAGGTAAAACCTCTAAAGTAATCATACTCTTTTAAAATATGAATGAAATAATCACATCTTATTTATACATTCATAGTTTCGATGTTGTTAAAGTAAATGTTATTGTAATAGCCATTATGAATGATTTTTACCATTTAAATAATTGTATTTTTAATGCAAGGTTGTGCCTATTTCTATGGTTTGATTGCAATTTACCTAAACGTGTAATGGTTGTGCCTAAGGCATATCATTTAATTTCATTGTTTTTTGACATCATTTTACATACGTTTCTCTTGCCGGAAAACAAGCCATCGATGACTTTTCACTTATACGAGCAAAGCCGCTAGAATACCCCAAAATCATTTATCTCCAAAAATTGTTTGTAGAAATGAAGTTCTTGGTAATTTTTCACTTATATGACAAAGCCGTTGAGATTTTAGATGTGTTCTATTCATCGGAAAACAAGCCACCGGTGACTTCCCACCTATATGGACGAAGCCAATAGTGGCTTCAAAACTATTTTCTCCCAAAACTATTTGTGGAAACAAATTTATTGGTAACTTTTCACTTATGTGATAAAGCAATAGACAATTTCGAAATCATTTTACATACATTCTATTTATATAAAAAAATAAGCTACTAAGTAGCTTCCTACTTATGTGATGGAATTACCGGTGGCTTCTAAATCGGTTATTTTCTCCTTGCTTAAGCAAAATAAAGGTATCGGTAGCTTCTTACTTATGTGATAAAATTATCATAAATTTTCAAACTCATGATCCGAAGTTGATGGTGGCTTTCTATTTGTGTGCGCGAAGTTGTCGATGACTTACTCGTTCATATTAATAAAGACTATCAATCCTTAGAAACTCATCTACTTTTGGGTATAGGTTGTATTTGCTACAAATTAGCCAAAATTTCAACCTTCCCCACATTTTCCCTTTAAGTGGGGGTATTAACCTTAGACAAGGTAAAACCCTAAACTAATATGTTTTTACTTTCCAACAAAATAAACTCACTCAAATAGGCAAAGGAGCATAACATAGCAAAAAACTAAATTTTTATTTTCACATGCATTCGATTCGACCTATCTTGGGTAAGACGAGATGACGGTGATGTTATATCTTCTACGTACATAACCAATCCTTTACCCGAGATATCTATGTAGACTAGTATGTTTAGGATTTTGTAATTCTCCCTAATTAGTTAAGTGATGACTCCATATTTCTTGTGCATCCCCGTTGGCCCATGTCGATAGAGTATATGAACTTTATTCTTTCTATTTGAGTAAATTATTTTTTTCAAAACTATCAATTAAGTGTTTTCATTAATTTCTTTGTTAATCGATGATGTGTTAGAAGACAAATTATAATTTTACTCTTTTTTGTTGAAAATACCTCTCCCCAAATTATTTAATCTTTAAAATTTGACAAAGAATTAAAAAATATTTTTTTAGCAATGAAATTCTGAACTAAAGTCAACCGAGTTTACCATTAAAAAAAATAAAACTCGGTTAGGTCTTGAGCGTGAAAATTAAAAGAAAAAAAAACCCGACATTTTTCATCAAAAGAAGATGTATTCGTATTTTCCTTCAATTTTCACTCATAAACCTAACTCGATTTTTTTAATAGCAATTTAGTTGAGTTTAGTTTAGAATTTTATAGCTAGATAATAATATTTTCTTATTTTTTATGAAATTTTGAAATGGTTAAATAATTTAAGGAAAAAGTTTTCTTCAACAAAAAAAGTTAAAATTATAATTTTATATTAAAACACGTCATTAATTAATAAAAAAATTAATGAAAGTACTTGATTGACGGTTTAAAAAAAATGTATTTAAATAGAAAAAAATAAAGCTAATGTATTCTATTGAGAGAAAAAGATTAATAGTAATTTAGGATTTTGGATGTGACGAACACATCATCGGTTCGTAAAAATTAATGGAAGTACTTGATTTATAATTTTTTTCTTAAAAATAATTTACTCAAATAAAAATAAATAAAAATTTACGTATTCAATTGAGAAATAGTAGAAAGTTGGTATACTCATAATACAATTATCCCTAAAATAAGTGATCGTTGGTCACTTTGAAATGTAAGAGAAATGTTTTTCTATAATTTTATGCCCCATGTGAAGGAAAGGAGAGAAAAACGTATGGTCCAAATGAAAAATTTTATAATACTTAAGAAGTACTAGTAACATATACAATAATTACTCGATAAATTCATTTAAAGGAGAGAGATAAACATAAAAAAAAAAAGAGAAAATTAAAAAAAATTGAGCGAATAAAAAAATCCTTTTATCACTATATATCTCTACCAAATAATTATATAAAATAATTATTATATATATCACTAATTACTTTTTGAATATTATAAAATTTATCGCCGCAAATGATCTCACGTTCATATAACTATCTTATGAGAAAAGTAAAGAATCATTCAAAATTTAAAAGAGAGAAACGATAAGTGGTACTGATCCAGAGAGTGGAGGGCCCCTCTTATAGCCAAATCATTCTTAAGATCGATGGTCCCCTCTTTCCCTACCAAATCCTTGAAATACAAAAAGAGCAACTGCATTCACCAAAGCCCATAACCCAAAATCAAATCATGTTATTAAATTTATGATAATAATTCACATTGAAGAGAAGGGACGAGTAGAGAAAAATACAGATTGCTTACCATCTATAATCTATTCTAATCTATCTGCGTAAGGTTAAGCAGCTGATTAACTCTAGCCTGAATCGTTATCGAATGAATGTAGTACTCTATAACATACGTGCTTTGCTGGGATTTGGAATCCAGAGTTACTCACAGTCAACTCTGTCATGTTTATGTAATAGGTATACCATTGTTTGGGGGATCAAAGTATTAAAGAATAAAAAGAAAAGCACACAGAAATAGCATCAACAGCAGCAAAAGCAAAAAGATATGGAAGGATGGCATGTCTGCATTATTTCTGCATAAATGGACAAGGTTTGCGAACAGGGCCACAGATTTTCCTCAACTTTTGATTATACTGAAACTTCAAATATTTTTTTAAAAAAGTAGCTACATTAGACAGATTGAAAGAAACATAAAACAAACATGAAATTGCAAACCAAGCATTCTAGAAAGCAAAAGAGGACCAAATCCTTCCACTATTAAGACACCTAAACTTATTAACAGTCCCAGTTGATCAGAAAAAGTCAATCATCATTCCCCTTTTCCGTGCTGATCTTGCTTCCCATTCTCTCTATCGTCTCCACTTTTGTTCTTTCCCACGATTTCTAATAAAAAACCCATGAACAGAGACTCAAAATTTGGAATCTTCTCATACCCATGAAAATAATTTATATCAATAACAAGATACCTATTTACATCTCTAGCATCCCTAATCAGATCAAAATTGAACAAATTAATCCCTGTTTCTGAAAGAGTTGTTTCTTGTTCTGTAATAGTTTACTAAGTCTTAGGTTATCTAAGTTTACTTAGTCTTTGTTTCTGTTCAATAAATCCCTAGTTTCCAGGATTGTGGAGTCTGTTAGCGGGTCTTTAGCATTAATCACGTAAAGCACTCAAGTGCTAAACGTGTGCTTATATTTAGGATTTCTGTTCCAGTTATGTTTCAATTGTAAGGCTATATAAAGCCAAAAGTCATGCATATAAAAGTTGTTCAATCCAATTGTTCTATTGAGTTATTGCATTTGATTTCGTACTTAACAATTGGTATTCGAGCCTTACAACTTTGAGAGTTAAACAAAGTGAGTTAGAGAAAATAAGTGAGAAAGATGGGGTCTGAAACAGGTTTTGCTCAACCTGCTATTCCAAAATTTGATGGAGATTATGACCGCTGGAGTCTGGTCATGGAGAATCTTCTCCGATCCAAGGAGTATTGGGGTGTGGTGGAATCAGGCTATACATTACCTGGAGATGAAGAACCACTGTCAGCCGCACAGAGGAAAGTCCTAGAGGAGATGAAGCTGAAAGATCTGAAGGCCAAAAATTACTTGTTCTCATCAATTGACAAGTCCATTTTAAAGACAATCACGAAGAAAGAGACAGCCAAACAGCTCTGGGATTCAATGAAGCTGAAATGCCAAGGCAATGCTCATGTTCAACGAGCTCAGCTGAATTGCCTTCGCAGGACCTTTGAAGTTTTGGCTATGAAGAATAGGGAATCAATCACTGACTATTTTGGTGGAGTGATGGTGGTTGCAAATGATATGCGGAATTGTGGTGAAGATATGCCTGATGTCAAAATAGTAGAGAAGATATTGAGGACTCTCACTGAAAAATAGAATTACATTGTGTGTTCCATAGAAGAAGCAAAAGACATTGATGAGCTTTCCGTCAATGCTTTTCACAGTTCACTGCTTGTGCATGAGCAGAAGTTCAAGAAGGAAAAAGAAGGAGAAGAGGAGCACTCACTCAAGGTGTCATATGATGAAAGACAAGGTGTAAGAGAACGTGGAAGAATGACTGCACAAGGTGGAACAAGAGGCCGAGGTAGGGGCAGAGGAAGATAAGTGTTTTTGAGGGCCACGGTAGAGTGTTTTAAGTGTCATAAGCTTGGCCATTTTCAGTATGAGTGTCCAAATTGGAATAAAGAAGCCAACTATGCTGTGCTTGAGGAGGAGGATGAGTTATTGTTGATGGCTTATGCTGAGGTACAGGAAAGCAGACGAAAAGATGTATGGTTTCTTGATTCAGGTTGCTCAAATCACATGTGTGGAGATAAAGCTCTCTTCTCTGACTTAGATGAAGATTTCAAGCACACTGTCAAGCTAGGCAACAATTTTAGAATGGATGTCACAGCTCGAGGTAATGTGAAGTTTATATTGAATGGTGTTAGTCACATTATCACTGAAGTGTACTATGTTCCAGAGTTGAAAAATAATCTCTTGAGCATAGGACAACTTCAAGATAAAGGGCTAGCAATTGTGATTAAGGGAGGGGCTTGCAAGATTTACCATCCTGATAGAGGTTTGATTATTGAAACAAGTATGAGTGCAAACAGGATGTTTATAGTGTTTGCACAACCACAAAGCCAATCTCAAGCTCAGAAAGACAATTGTCTCCTCATAAGTGCGTAGAATACAACACAACTATGGCATCGCAGATATGGTCATTTGAACTATAAAGGCCTAAAGACTTTGGAAAGCAAGAAGATGGTTCGAGGACTACCAAAGCTCACTATAACGACAGAGTTATGCACTGACTGTCTCATTAGGAAGCACCACCGAGATCCAATACCTACCAAGAGTTTGTGGAGAGCTAAAAAGATTGTAGACCTCATCCATGCTGACATTTACAGTCCAATTAACCCTATGTCAATCAGCAACAAGAGGTACACTTTGTGTTTTATTGATGACTATAGTCGGAAGTCATGGATTTATTTCTTGGCAGAGAAGTCAAAGGCTTTGAGTTATTTCAAATGTTTTATAAAGTTAGTAGGAAATGAGACAGGACTACCAATCAAATGTTTGCGCACAGACAGAGGTGGGGAGTTTACCTCATCTGAATTCAATAGTTTCTGCAAGGAGAATGGAATACAGAGACAATTGACCACCGCATACACCCCTCAGCAAAATGGGGTTGCAGAACGCAAAAACAGAACAATGTTTAACATGGTACGTGCTATGCTCTCTGAGAAGAAGATTCCAAAACCATTCTGGGCTGAGACAGTAAATTGGAGCATTCATGTGCTAAATAGATGTCCGAATTTAGCAGTGAAAGACATCACCCCTGAAGAAGCATGGAGTGGATCTCGACCCTCAGTTAATCACTTCCGAGTCTTTGGTTGCATTGCACATGTTCATGTGCCCGAGGTACGAAGAACTAAACTTGATGATAGAAGTTTCATTTGTGTTTTCTTGGGTATAAGTGATGAATCAAAAGGTTATAGGTTATCAATCCTATTACTAAGAAGATTGTGATAAGTAGAGATGTTGTGTTTGAAGAAGAAAAGCAATGGGACTGGGAAAGTAGTTATAGAGAAGAAGTTTTGATGGATTTAGATTGGGATGATGAGAGTAATGATGACATTGAAGGAGTTGAAAATGAGAATGAAGGAGAAAATGAGAATGAGGAAGAGATACATGGGGGTAGTAGCAGTAGGGCTAGTACAAGGAGTAAGAGAGATTTATAGCCTCCTTCATGGCTGAATGATTATGTAAGTGGGGGAGAGTTAGGGCTTTCGAAGGATGAAGAAGCCAATATGGCTCTAATGGTGACTAGCGATCCTATGTTTGTTGAGGAAGCAGTAAAGAGTGAGCATTGGAGGGTAGCTATGGACAATGAAATAGGGTCCATAGAAAAGAACAAAACTTGGAGCTTAGTTGATTTACCTGCTGGTGCTAAGAAGATTGGAGTTAAGTGGGTCTATAAGACCAAGTATGATGAGAAAGGTGAGCTTGAGAAGTATAAAGCTCGGCTGGTAGCCAAGGGGTATTCACAGGAATACGAAATTGATTATGTAGAAGTATATGCACCAGTAGCTAGAATTGAAACAGTGAGAACAGTAGTGGCATTAGCAGCTCAACGCAACTGGAAGATTTTTCAGTTGGACGTCAAATCCGCATTCTTACATGGTGAGCTTAATGAGGACGTGTACGTGGAACAACCGAAAGGCTATGAAATTGAAGGAAGTGAAGACAAAGTGTATAAGCTGCATAAGGCCCTATACGAACTAAAACAAGCACCTCGAGCTTGGTTTAGTCGAATAGAGTCTTATTTTATGGCAGAAGGTTTTGAGAAGTGTCCAAACGAGCAAACACTCTTTACCAAGCAAAGCAAGAAAGGTAAATTGCTGATTGTGAGTCTTTATGTTGATGACTTAATCTATACTGGTGATGATGAAAGAATGATGAGTGATTTCAAGTCCTCAATGATGCAAGTTTTTGAGATGACTAATCTTGGCATGATGAAGTTTTTCCTCGGCATAGAGGTAATGCAACATTCAAGCGGCATTTTCATTTCTCAAAAAAATATGCAACTGAGGTTTTGACAAGGTTTGGAATGCTAGAAAGTCGAGCTGTTGGTAGTCCAATTGTTCCTGGTAGCAGATTGAGCAGAGATGAGAATGGAGTTGTAGTTGATGAGTCATATTATAAGCAGGTAGTTGGAAGCCTCATGTATCTTACTGCTACTCGTCCAGACTTAATGTATAGTGTGAGTTTAGTTAGCAGATTCATGTCCAAGCCCACTGAACTTCACTTACAAGCTGCCAAGAGGATATTAAGGTACTTGAAAGGAACAGTTGATTATGGAATCATGTACAAGAGGGAGAGCTCAGATTTGGTGGCCTATACAGACAGTGACTATGCTGGTGATTTAGATGATAGGAAGAGCACATCTGGTTATGTCTTCTTGCTAAGCTCAGGGGCTGTTTCGTGGCTTTCAAAGAAGCAACCTATTGTTACCTTGTCAACCACAGAAGCTGAGTTCGTGGCTGCAGCTGGGTGTGCGAGTCAAGCAGTTTGGTTGAGGAGAGTTACTACAAAGCTTGGTTGTGTTCATGATAAAGGTATTGTTATTTATTGTGACAATAGTTCAGCTATTAAGTTATCAAAGAATCCTGTTATGCATGGACGAAGTAGGCACATTGATGTGCGTTTTCACTTCTTGAGAGAGCTTGTTCAAAATGGAATCATAGAGCTGGTGCATTGTGGAACTAAAGAACAAATTGCCGATTTGATGACAAAACCACTACAGCTGGATGCTTTCTTGAAGCTCAGAGATCGCTTGGGTGTTTGCAAAGCAGAAGTGCTAAACTAACTGTGAGACACAGTTGGTTTAAGGGAGGGTTTGAAAGAGTTGTTTCTTGTTCTGTAATAGTTTACTAAGTCTTAGGTTATCTAAGTTTACTTAGTCTTTGTTTCTGTTCAATAAATCCCTAGTTTCCAGGATTGTGGAGTCTGTTAGCGGGTCTTTAGCATTAATCATGTAAAGCACTCAAGTGCTAAACGTGTGCTTATATTTAGGATTTCTGTTCCAGTTCTGTTTCAATTGTAAGGCTATATAAAGCCAAAAGTCATGCATATAAAAGTTGTTCAATCCAATTGTTCTGTTGAGTTATTGCATTTGATTTCGTACTCAACAGTTTCCTCCTTCATGGCCTTGGCTACTTCCTCAACAAAATCCACTGCCGGCATTTCCACACACTCAAAGTCACTATTCTCCTCCACACTCGCACTTGATATTTGCGAAAACGGTAGCAAACCCTTCAAAGTCACAGAGTTGTCCTCGTTTAAATCTGGCAACGATTTTCTCTTGACACATTTCACATAATCACCCGCCACATAGGCTTTAAAAATAACTCCTCCATGATTAACGAATTCTTGCAAAATAATCGGTGTCTCTAACTTGTCTAATCCTTCCTCATCGAAAACTAAATACATTTTATGTGAGGTGTCGCTCCCATTAGCCATTAACGGTTTGGCAATCAGTGGAAACCCTAAATCCCCAATCAAATCATAATTACCGTTCGAAGTTTGTTGTAAATCGGAAACAACATATTGTTTTGGTACGTCTAAAACTTGATGCCTTTGTGGAAGTTTTAGGTTACATACAACTTGGATCATCGAAACCCGATTGCGGAGTCTCTGAATGGAATCAAGCGAATCAATGATGGGGACCTTAGGATTTTTAGAGGAGAAGTGTTGGAGCTGGGACTCCCAATCTGGGCCGTAAAGCTTGTGGATGATGCAATCAAAGGGTCCTTGTTCGATCAGGGGTTTTGAAGGATCAATGGGGATGAGTTCAATGTTGTGTTTCTTTGCCTGCTGGATGAGTGAGGGTTGGATGAAGGCTTGCGTTTTGTTTGGTGCCAATGCGTAGCCTATGCTGTTCCTTTCTGGGTGGGTTGACATGGTAGGAGACGGTGGCAGTAGAGTTGTTGTTGTTTGTGAGTGAGAGGCGAGAATGCGTTTTACTTTCAACTTCAGTTTCAGCTTTAAATAGAGAGGAAGTTCTGAACCAGATTCGATGGGAATCAGAATTAAATAAGAATTCTCGTAGAGAGTGCCGATGACAGGTTCCAAACAGGAGCCGTCTTCGAATAAGCTTTAGAAATATGACATTTTTTTATGCTTGATTATGCATAATGGTAATGGAATCAGTTATTTACAGCCAGTAGCACCACTCTCTTCGACAAAAGAAGATAGAAAAAGGGTGACCATTCGTCCATCAGTGTATCCATTTAATATTATTTTACTTTATTATATCCAATTTTCAAATGAAGGAAAGTGTCGGCTGTATTTTAACTACGATTTTCACTCGTTAAAAAAAAAAAAAAAAAGTCATTTAACGAGTAGATTTATAAATGAAAGCACAAGTCCTCTTTTTAAAGAAGATGAAACTTCAAACATTCGTACGAAAATGATAGGCAAATGATATAAGAGAACGAGTAATCATTTTTGTTCCCCTTATGACAGGAATGATTGTTCTTAAGCAAAAAAGAGCACAAAGGTATATACAGTGCATGTTTAAATCACATGACCAATTCTCAACAAACACTTTTTGCCCGAGAACTGCATATGCCATGCTAGATGAAACCACGTAAAAATAAGTGATCATTGGTCGCTTTGAAACGTGGGGGAATTTTTTACCATTAAAAATAAGGGGGAATGTACGTTCCAAATATTCTCTCTTTTGTATTTGTCTTGTAAGAAAAAAAAAAAGAAAAGAAAAAAAAGTGGAGATCAAAAGAATCATTCAAAAATCGAAAAAACATAAAGAACAACTAAGGACTTAAAGAGAACGTTTTTTACTACAAAATAACAGCACATGATACATGATGACAGACCAAAGTCTCAATGACCCATGCGCCAGATAGTACAAGCAATACAATGTAAATGTATTGTGCATCACATTTTATCCAAAGATATCATAAAGTCTAACTTCTAACCTTCAATCACATAATGTTATATTGTTCCACATTTTTTGGATTTACTAATACACCTATATAAATCCCATTGTCACTACAAGAAAAAGCTTTATTAGCGATGAACATTTAACGACGGTCAATAAACCGTTGCTAATTACTAAAATTTGTAACGGTTTTATAAATTTTAGTGATGGTCTAAAAAACGGTTACTCATTTTCAATTTGCGACCGTTTTTTAGTCACGGTCTACAAATCCATTGCTAATTTGACAAGTTAAATTTTTTATACCAATATAGATCGCTTTAGCGACGGTTTTCATGAAACAAAATCAGTTGCAAATTTAGCAACGGTCCACCCCGTCGATAAACCGTTGCTAAATAGATAAAAGCATAAAAAAAACCTTTGTGATTTCAACGGTTTTTTTAACAAATTGGGTTTACCGATAGTCCAACCCCGTTGCTAAACCGTTGCTAAAAGTACAAAAATATTTTAGCAACAGTTTTGTACAAAAAATCATTGCAAAAAAATTTAAGATGTTAGCGACGGTCCTGGAAAATTTAAGACGTCGCAAATCCATTTCAAAATTGTCATGGTCGGAAAAAGAAAGAAAAAACATGATTAGCAACGAGTTTTTAACCTAAAACCGTTACAAAAAATAATCGCTTTTAGCGACGGTCCAAGACCGTGCTAACCCGTTGGTAACATAATTAAATTTTTGTTTTGCAACGGTTTTTCCAAAAATAACCATTGCAAACACGAAATTAGCGACGGTCGTGGACCATTGCTAATCCGTCACTAACATTAAACCGTTGGTGGGAAACGATCAAATTTAATTTCAAATTTATTATTAGCGACGGTTTAGCGACATCACGAGCGCTAAAAACTTAACCTTTTTAAACTCGCTGGTCTTCTCGAAATCCGCAATTCGATCTCTCTCAAATGATCCTCTCCTCTTCTCCTCCGACAACAACAAGATCTACCAATATTTTGCTCCAATCTTCTCCTCTCTTTCCTCAAAGCATTTGTATCCTCAAAATATCGCTTCTTCTTCCCTCTTTTCCTCTTCTTTTTTCTTCTTTCTAGCTCTCCAGCGTTTAACCCGTCGTTTTTCGATGAACAAACGACGCCACTGCCCCCTCTCATCCTTCCCTTGGTGACGAGTCCACCTAAATCTAACCCCTCCTTTCAATTTTTAATTTTTTCAGTTATTTAGTTAAGTAAAATAAATTTTTTTAATTTTTAATTTTAATTACTTATTATTATTAGTTTAATTATTTAATTGATTTTTTATTGCATGTTTTTTTTTTTACTTGATTATTTAATTAATATTGTTTTGATGGGTTATTTTAGTGTTAATTGTGAATTTACTTAGTTTAATTTAATGTTAATTGTTTTAGTTAGAAAATATAATTGTTATATATTATTTTATGTTGTTATTTTAATTGTTATTGTTATTGTTATTGTTATTGTTATTAGTGTAGATGCTAATTGTTAATTTATTTAAGTTATTGTGATTAAGTGATTAAAAATTAATTGAAAACATTATTAAGTTTATTTAGTACTAGTTCATTAAGTTAAAGCGTTAGGTAATTACAAAATTAATCAATAAATTAAATATTAATTAAATTGTAATAAATTTTTATTTTGTTGATTAAATATTAAGCTTATATATTTAGTTGTTAATTTAGTTAAATAGATAAGTAATTACAATATTAATTAAGAAGAAAAAATATAGCGTTTTTTCAAAGAAAAAATTCATAAGTGCTTAAGGTTACAATATGGTTCATTAATTAAGTTTAGTTTATCATTACGTTAAATAGTTAAGAAGAAAAAGTTTTAGTTTTTCTGAAACTATATTAAATAGATAAAAAAAATAAAGTTACTAGAAATATTTGTAATTGTTAGTAATTAAATAATTAATTAAGTTGTATTTAAAAAATCGATATATACTTAGCTTATTCATTAAAAAAATAACTTGTGTCTAACAAAAAATATTTGAGATTTAGTAATAAAAGTGTTTTAAGTAATTACAAAAACGAGTTAATACTTTAATTTTTATTTTGTTTAAAATGAATTCGGATCGCTCTTGGATTGACATTAGATTAAGCGATGGATTATTAAATGAGCATTTCGTAAAAGGGGTTAATGAATTTATTAATTTTGCGGTTAGTCATCCATAGTGCATGGATGGAAATAAGATATGATGTCCATGTAAACAAAAAAAATATCAAAATCGTAGTTATAAAAACCACGATACCGTTAAGTATCATTTGTTGAGATATGAGTTTGTGCCTAGGTATTATGTGTGGAGACGTTATGGAGATAATGATTTAGCAATTAATGACAATTCGTTTAAATAATGTTGAATAAGAACAAATATTTGATGATTCTCAAGTTAATTAATATCACACAATGGTGATGGATGCGGTTGGTCCATCTTTTAATCCGTCTAATACGGACGAAGACCCAAACCTCGCTTGCACTGAGCGTTTTACGATTTATTAGATACATCAAATAGAGAAATATGGCACGGGTTAGAAAACCATTCATAGTTATCCGCAATGTCTTGTTTGTTGCATCTCAAGTCCGAGTATCATTTTTCGAAGAGGTGTTATGACAATTTATGTCAACTTATGAAAGAGTTGATGTCTCTTGATAATTGCATGCCGGAAGAATTTTATAGTATAAAAAAAATGATAGAAATGATGGGTTTACCCATTGAAAAGATCCATTGTTGCATTAATGGTTGGATGATTTATTGGGGTGAAGACAGCGAGAGAATACTTGTAAAATATATGATCATCCTCGACATCAAAATCCTAGATAGGGGTCGATTAGACAAACATTTATCCCTTATAAAAAAAATATATTATTTTTCGATAACCCCATAATTGCAACGAAAGCATGCATCAAATGCCACCACTAATGACATAACGTGGCATGCGCAACATGTATGTCAACCCAACGTCATGCGTCATTGTTCGGACTCCTTTGCATGGTGACATTTTGACTAAACACATCCTTCTTTTACATCGAAATTATGAATGTTAGATTAGGTGTTTGCACCGATGGGTTTTAGCCTTTTGGTAATTACGGAGAACAATATTCTTCATGGCCTATCATTGTAACGCCTTACAATTTGCCACCATGAAAATGTATAAAAGAAGAATATATTTTTTTACTCGTTATTATCCCCGGTCCTAAAAACCCTAAAATCAATTTAGACGTTTACTTACAACCCTTAATTAAAGAGTTGATAGAATTATAGGAAGTAGGTGTTCTTACATATGATGTGTCCCGTAAAGATAATTTTCAAATAAGAGCTATTTTCATGTGGAAAATTAGTGACTTTCCTACATATTCAATGGTATCGGGTTGGAGTACTGCGGGTAAGACAGTATGCCCATATTGTATGAAAAATTCGATGCTTTCACCCTTCAAAATGGCAGCAAAACTTGATGGTTTTATTGCCATCAAAAGTTTCTCCCACTAAGCCATCCGTTCGGGTAAAATAGGAATGCGTTTAAGCAAAATTCGGTTATTACGGACATTGCTCCCTTGATCAAGTCCGGAATTGAAATTTTACAAGAATTAAGCAATTGAAGGTTGTTGAAAGTAACAAAAGAGAGGTCCGATGAGTATAACAATAATATATCTAAATATTGTGGTTGGAAAAAACGTAATATATTTTGAGACCTACCTTGTTGGAGTTTTAATCTAATACGTCATAATTTGGATGTCATGTACATTGAGAAAAATATCTTCGACAATGTGTTCAATATAATTATGAATGTCCCGGGAAAAACAAAAAACAATGTAAATTCTAGGGAAGACTTAAAGCTATATTATCGACGGCCCGAATTAGAAATAGATGAAAACTCTAGAAAATACCCAAAAGCTTGTTATACTCTAGACAAACAACAACAACAAAAAAAAATATTAGAATGGGTTAAACAACTAAAGTTTTCAAACGGATATGTCTCTAACTTGGCAAGGTGTGTCGATATGAATAACCTCAAATTACATGGCATGAAAAGTCATGATTGTCATGTATTTATGCAAATGCTAATACCTATTGCATTTCATGACATGTTACCAATAAATGTATGGAAATCACTAACCGAGCTTAGCTTAGTCTTTAAGGAATTGACATCTACTGTGATTAAGGTTGAAGATATGATCCGTCTTGAGGAAGATATACCAATAATTCTTTGCAAATTAGAGCATATTTTCCCACCTAGTTTTTTTGACTCAATGGAGCATCTTCCCGTACACTTGGCATATGAAGCAAAAA